TATATATATATATATATATAAGTCAACCTCATGTCAAGTCTGACTGATTGGTGTATGACATAAAATTGGTTGAAAAAATTAAATCTAAAATTTTTAGCAGAGATCCTGAATCAGTAAATCTAAAGTATAAATCAGTAAATCTAAAGTATATTTCATTGGGGAAAATACGAAATATAAATCTATTCTTAATGCCTATTAATCAAACTATGAATTAAATTTAATATTAGTACAGACGATTACATTTCAAGCTAGTAAATCTATACGTCAAAAATAATTCAAAAAAAAAAAAAAAAACCTATGCTTGGCTGCGCCCGCTTTCTCGCTCAGATAACTCCCAAATCTATCCTGTACAACTCGCCGCCCCTCCGGCGCCGGCGACTCTTCACAAGCGGTATCGTAAAATCCATTGATCTCCTTCCCTCACGCAATCCCTCCTCAAATCTCAACAACCCCTTTTCCACGAAGATGGATCGCAACACTGGCGCTGAGCCTTCGGTGGAGGACTACGTTCACCTCTCTGATTCGGATTTGCGTGTGGCGACCCCTAGCACGAAATATGGTACCGATCCCGAGGGCGACGCAGCTTCCGTGTCAGTTGACGAACGTGAGGTGCGTGGGGAGTTCGAGGAGAGGAGAATTGGGGGTTCCGGCGAGGGAGGGTTTGAGGAGAGGAGGATTCTTCCGGAGGAGCTAGCGAAGGCGGTTTTGCATCTGGAATGCGAATCGTCAGCTGAGGGGGGACGCTGCGACGTATACTTGGTAGGAACGGCGCACGTTTCTCAGGTAAATTTTTTTCTCCATTGGGCTTTTTTTGATTTGAGGGAATTGGGCGAATGCAAATGCATGCTATTTTATGATTTTGTAATTGTTTTTTCATTTTTTTGGTTAGTATGCTAAACAAATGATTGAATTTACTTAACACTATAGTCTCACTTAAGAAATTCGTAGATAAACAAGTGAAAGAATAGATGGATAAAACATTTAGAGTGAGAAGCATTACGATAGATTGCAAGGAAGGGAAAGACTAGAGCAAGTGACTCCCTGTCTCGTTTCTTTAATGCCTGGTTTTTAGTCTTTAGAATTTTTCCACTCATTGCATTTTAAAGAATGTTGGATCCATAATGTATAATTTTAGAACCTTAATAATATGACAATCAATAAAAGAAAAGTTATAACGAGAAAGAAAATGCAGAGTGAAAAATTTTGAGATTTCACTTATTGCAAGTTTGATCAAATTAGTGACGCAGAGAAAAAAATCCTAGGAAAAACTTGAATTATGGAGGTCTATATTGGATTCTAATTATGGAGGTCTATTATGGAGGTCTATATTGGATTCTAAAGGCCTTCATTTGAGTAGAACTAAAACTGAATACATGGAATGTAATTTTAGTAGTATTAGCTCTTGTGATAGAAGTGTAAATTTGGGTGATCAATTTATTAAAAGGTGTGAACGATTTAGATATATCGGTTCTCTTGTTCAAAGTGATAGTGATATAGATGGGGATGTTATTTGTAGAATTCAAGTTGGTTGGTTGAAGTGGAGGAATGCTTTGGGCCTATTGTGTGATCAAAAGGTATCGTTTAGACTGAATGGAAAATTTTATAAGATGGTGATGAGACCTGTAATGCTCTATGGCGCAGAATGTTGGCCTTTAAAAGAGAAGCATAATACTAAGTTAAGTGTTGCAGAGATGAGAATAATAGGTGGATGGGTGGCTTTACACTTAGAGAAAAAATGCGAAAAGAATATATCCGTGATAGGGTCAGTGTTGCTTCAGTACAACAACAACAAAGCCTTAATCCCACTACGTGGGGTCGGCTACATGAATCCTTTTTCTCCATTGCGTCCAATTTGATATTATGTGTACGTGAACAAATGTGTTTTTCATTGAAAAAGTTATATTTATCAGGTAGTCATTCTAATTCAAATGTTCCTTAATGGCAGGAAAAAATCAAAATTTCATACAACCAATCAAAACAAAAAGGTTTTTTTCCTAATTTTCTTTTCTCAACCAAACCAGTGAGGCCAAGCAAATTCCAGTTCTTTCCTTTTATCATTTTAATTGCTAGTTCCTCTTTCTCTCCTTCTTGTAATTCTTTGAAACTAATGGATTCTGATAACTCGAGTGAAAGGAAAGGAAAAGAATTTGAAGAATCTCATGGCTGTTAATCAATCCACCTATTGCTTGTATTTTATTCAACCCCTTTTCCTTTCAATCCAAATAAAGCTGTAGGCTTTTTACTCATGTTTTTGTATTTTGGGTGCATTTTAATGCTCATCTTATAGTTGAATTTTGAAGCCAATTAATGTGTGAATGCTATGCTAATTATTTGTTACAGGAATCGTGTAAAGAAGTTCAGGCTGTCATCAGGTACCTGAAACCAGAGGTGCTTCCTTTTACAGGCTTATAGTTACCTGAACTAAAAATTTATACGGCCTTTCTCTGCATTAATTGTGGTATACTAACACGTGCTGTTCACACTGTGTGCTTGTTTTAATGAAGGTTGTTTTCTTAGAATTGTGCTCAAGCCGCGTAGCAATTTTGACCCCCCAAAACCTGAAGGCATGTACCTCAGATAACTTGCTTCACCTGAATAACATTTCAAAAGTTTCTTTATTAATGTTCTTTGTTTTAATTTGGTAACTAGATACAAATTTATATAAACTGATTATTCAAGAAAAAATAATCTGGTGTGAAATTTTATTCAGGGATCTGTTATATCTGGTTAAATCCAAGAAACTTGCTTATGTGTTTGTATGTTCCAGGTTCTGAACAAGTATCAGATCTAAATGTTTCGTCTTTGAGTAACCAATAACCAGGTAGAATTCTGATTAATTCCAATCCAAATTCAGGGTAATCTTTGGTTTAGTGGATTTTTCAGCTGTGTTATTTTATTAATGATTTATAAGAATATATGGTTGGAAGTTTTACTACTCTAGTCGGATCTTTGTTGGTTCTCATTATGCCGTAATATATTTGCACCCATAAATCAATGGTATCCGAGAAAATTTATAAGATAATTTCAGCTATTATTTTTTATGTGTTATTGCCTTAGAGTGAATCCTTGAACATACATTGCTGCAACTTGAGGACAGTTTTGAGTGTATGATTCAGCTTTGCTTGGAATTAGCTTTTTCCTATGCATTTATTTTATTTATTTATTTTTTTTGTGAAAGAGTACAACAACAACAACAATCATTTATCCCGCTAAGTGGGGTCATTTAATTTCTTGTGAAAGAGTGAATTGTTATACTTTGCCATCTTTAAGAATAATTAGCAACGTAACCATGAGAAAGGAAGATTCTAGAGATGACCAAATGAAGAGAACAATCCAAGGGACTCTAGAAGATTTCACGACATTCTTGAAAAAATTAGAAATGAGAATATTCAAAGTAATTGTAAAAGATTCCACATAATTTCAGAAATATGCTGGAAGAAGCTAACTTCAAGAGAACTCTAAAATATTCTAAAAAGTCCTAGAATCATGTTTATGCAAAGAATAATATAGAAATATCTAGAAATTAATATATTTTAATAAAATCTAGAAAGTTCCCTTAATCTTGGAGAGAACTATGAATAAGAGTCCCTCCCCCTCATTTGTAATCTCACTTTCTGTAGTGAAGTGTTAATTTCTTAAATACTTTCTCTCAACTTATTCCTAGAGAGTTTTGTGCTTACATGTCCGAGTGTTGCAAGCGTTAGTTTGATTTAGTGCCAAGGAAGAACGCTAAAGCCACACGGGTGACTTGAGAGAAGTTTGCCCGTGACAGTTAGTATCAATTCCTCGGTTCAAAAGTATGACAAAGAGCGTCAAAGAACACATAATGGAGTCTGAAGCTATTATTGTGGAATCATCTTAACAAGGGCGAGGTCGTCAGGAGCAAAGAGATTCGGCTGCATCTAAACCACATGAGAGGTCGAAGGAGATCATTCATGGTTTTGATTCACGCCTTGCTCGGGTGGAGGAAGCAATGAATAACATAGAGGTCCAAATAGAGGATCTTAGCCAAAAGGTGGATGAGCTCGAGGAGGAGGATATCGCCATCCATTCGGCGATCAAAGGTATGATGCTTCAAATGGAGGAATACTTAAAAGACCAAATGAAAAATATGCAGGAGGACTTGATGGGGGAGCACCGATCTCATGAGGAAGAGATGAACAACATACATGCCAACTTGGAGGAGTTTCGTGGAGACATATCTCTATGCAAGAGAGCATTAGCGACTTCCACCAACCACCGTACTTTCAAAGCTATGCGCATTGAGGTGCCAAAACGTAATTGTTTTGGAGGAGCTCGCAACGCGAAAGAAGTGGATAATTTCCTATGGGGACTTGAGCAATACTTTGGAGTGATAGGGATTATAGATGAAGATGCAAGAATTCAATTTGCAACTCTTTATCTCTCAGACATTGTTGTGCTGTGGTGGAGAATATTGAGAAAGGTATGTGCATGATATCGACCTTTAATGACTTCAAGAAAAAGCTAAAAAGACGATTCTATCCTGTGAATGTGGAGGACGAGGTTATAACCCAGTTGCGAAGACTCAAACAAGAGGGATCGATTTAGAAATATATTAGGGAGTTCACAGGTTTGTTTCTTAAAATCCCCGTCATTTCTGATAAGGATGTTTTTTTCAACTTTATGGATGAACTCCAATAGTGGGCAAAGACTGAATTTAAGAGGCGCGGAGTGCAAGATCTTGCTGTTGTTATTGCGGTCGCTAAAAGCCTAATTGATTACTCAATAGTGTCCACAAAGCCTAAAGATAAGAAGAGTATCTATATCATAGGCGGGGAAGTCAAAGATCAAAAAAAGGAAGAGACTCGACATGAATCGATTCATCCAAGACAAAAAAAACAATGGAAGTCTAATAATAACAAAACCAAACTGCATGACAACTGCTTCCTTTGTGGAGGAACTCATTGGGCAAGGGATTGCCCTCAGAAGAAGGCTCTAAACTGCCTCTTTGCAAGCCATTAGAAGGAAGGTGGTGATATGACGACATAAGTAGGGCTATACAACTGCTGAATGTGATGCAAGCTCCAATAAAACCCCAAGCAAAGGCGTTACTCTTTGTGGAGGTGGTAATAGGCGGGAAGACTACAAGAGCAATGGTGGACATGGGTGCTTCTCACGACTTTATCTCCGTTGAAGATGCAAGAAGGTTGGGTTGCGATTGACTGAAGGAGGAGGCTTCATCAAGGTAGCAATTCAGTAGTAAGACCAGTCCATGGAATAACCACAGGGGTAAAGACCAGTATTGGAGCATGGTCAGGTACTTTAGACTTTTCTATCATTCCAATGGATGATTCTAAAACTGTTCTAGGGATAAACTTCTTAGATCACACAAGAGCGTTCTCAATACTCTTCGCCAATAACATGTGCATTATGGAAGGAAATCAAGCTTGCTTAGTATCGACAACAAGAACTAACAAGTAAAAAGTCAAAATGCTATCGACCATCTAATTTAAGGAGGGCATTCCACGGGATGAGGAGAGCTACTTGACTATTCTTCATGACTTCGATGAAGAAGTAAAGCCCCAAGAAGGCATGCCAAGGGAGGTGGTGGCAGTGCTTAAAGAATTTAAAAATATTTCACCAGAATTACCAAAAGAACTATCACCAAGAAGGGAGAAAAATCATCAGATTAGGCTGGAGCCAGGGATTGAGTCGCCAACCAAGTCTTACTGCATGACACCCCTCTCCCATACAACAAGTTACAAAGGGAAAAACCTAATAGCTTTCAAGTTTGTCAAGTCTGTGAGCAAGCAAAGGGAGCTGGTCTGAGTGTCACTGCGTGAGATTACAAGAAGAACTACAAAAATGAGCAGACAAAAAAACGAGACATGAAGACACATGGAAAAAGAAAAAAAATCAACTGTATCAAGTGGAACTGGGAAAAAGAAAAAAAATCAACTGTATCAAGTGGAACCGACAATGAGGGCATTGCAAGCTTTAGTGGGGGAGAGTGTCACACTCCGTCATCGTTAAGAATAATTGACAAGCTAATCATGAGAAAGGAAGATTCTAGAGAAGATTAGAATGAAGAGAACAATCCAAGAGACTCTTGAAGATTCCACGATATTCTAGAAAAAAGCTAGAAATAAGGGGAATATTTCAAGAAATTCTAGAAGGTTCCACTTAGTTTCAGAAATATGTTGAAAGAAACAAGCTTTAAGAAAACTCTAGAATATTATGGAAAGTTTTAGAATCATTTATTTGTAAAGAATAATGTAGAACTATCTAGAAATTAGTATATTCTAAGTATATTCTAATGTAATCTATAATCTAGAAAGTTCCCTTAGTCTTGGAGAGGACTATAAATAGGAGTCCCTCTTCTTCATTTGGATCCATCCAAGAACCAACCAAGGTTCCTAAGAAACCAAGTGTGTAATCTCACTTTCTTTAGTGAAGTGTTCCTTTTTTCAATACTTTCTCCCTACTTCTTCCTAGAGAGTTTTGTCAAGTCCAAGCGTTACAAGGTTTAGACTAATTTAGTGCCAAGAAAGAGCGCGCTAAAGCCGCACAGGTTACTTGAGAGAAGTTTGCCCGTGACAGAATGCTGTAAATAACAATTCAATTTTGCAAAAGAAGCTTAAAAAATAATGAAAGTGGAGTCTTTTCATTTCTTGAAGCTGCTTGTATTGTAATTTGAGGGTTTCCTTACTATTTATGCCAACAAGCCCTTCATATTGACAATGTTTGGTGAAGAACAAGAAGATTTTACATAACAGAGAAAGAAGATTTTACATAACAGAAAAGAGATCTGATCTGGCTGATTTACGTATTAAATAAAGCACTGACATGATATTTTATGATTGATACTCTTAGCCAATATTCCAACATATTATAATTAATGTCCAGTTTTTCTCCATTGACCAGCACCAACTAGTATTCAGTTGACAGGATAAATAAGTTGTGATATTAATGACTATTTGTTGGTTCTGATGCCGTGCTAATGAATTTTTCCTTAAAACATATGCTCAATCTTACAATGTCATTGCAATTCCTAGCTTAGGGACTTGTTTCTTCTTGTCAGATAATCCAATATGCTGCGTTTACTTTATGAATAGATGCATTGTTTTCTGTTCCTTGTATAAGTTTGCCTTAATATTATTGGCACTTTTAATAATTTAATGGAACTTTAAATCTATTTAAATATCATTGAATTTATGGTGATTCATTCCCACAGTTTTTCATCAGTCAAGCAAAAAGTAGAACAATGACCGTTCAAATTTACACCTAGATATGATAGGTTTATTTATCTTTTTGATTGATTCTATATAAGAATCAAGATATAAATAATGATATAACATTTAGAGTTATGTTTGGTGGTTAAAATGTACAAGTTTCTTAGGAGTATTTGCAATGAGAGTAGAGACTTAAAGGTGAGTTAATAATACTACAGTCAGGTTGGCAATGTTGTATGGTGGAAAATTTTGGGACAATTAGGTTATTTATAGTGGACAGGAAATACTGAGATCGACGTTTGGCAAAACTAAGGATAAATTGTGATATAATTATGTTAGAGGAATAGTTGGAGTGAATATGATAAAGATTTAGTAGTTGAAAATAAACTTAGATGGTTTATATATGCACATGAAATGATAGAAAATATACTCATTAGATGTGTTGATGTTGAAGGAATAGTTTTGAAAAAGGCTAAACCAATGGTAATATGAAAATGACCAAATCAAAATGATTTGTTAAGGGTAGGTTTAGCACCTCTTGTAGTGCATGATAGGGATGAATGAAAAATGAGGATCCATAAATCTGATCATAAATAATTGGGATAAGGTTGATGATGATGATGAGATTATGATAATTCACCAAACTTAAAAATTTATTGTTGTTCTTGCATGCTTTTGATTTTGAGAGGATGATCTTACTTATATATATATATATATATATATATATATATATATATGGGTTATAGTTTTTGTTATATATATATATATTGGTTATAGATTTGATGATTTTCTCCACATTTTCAAAAATTAAACTTACAATAATATATATTTTCTTTATTATTCTATACCCTTTATCTTGGTGGACTTTAAGCCCATATCTTCTTGCTTTAGTTATGGATGGTTTTATTGGACATCTACAGGAGGATGTACCTTGGTGTATGTTTTTTGCTGATGATATCCTTCTCGTGGATAAAACGAGAGAAAAAGCCTAAAAAAACTTGAATTATGGAGGTCTACATTGGAGTCTAAAGGCCTTCATTTAAGTAGAACTAAAACTGAATACATGGAATGTAATTTTAGTAGTAGTAGCTCTAGTGATAGAAGTGTGATTTTGGGTGATCAAATTATTAAAAGGTGTGAACGATTTAGATATCTTGGGTCTGTTGTTCAAAGCGATGGTGATATAGATGGGGATGTTAGTAGTAGAATTCAAGTTGGTTGGTTGAAGTGGAGGAATGCTTCAATCCTTTTGTGTGATAGAAAAGTACCTCTTAGACTGAAAGAAAAAATTTATAAGACGGTGGTGAGACCTGCAGTGCTCTATGACGCTGAATGTTGACCTTTAAAAGAGAAGCATAATAATAAGTTAAGTGTTTCCTAGTTGAGAATGATTAGGTGGATGAGTGGCTTTACACTTAGAGACAAAATGCAAAATAAATATATCCGTGATATGGTTGGTGTAGCTCGTGTGACGGACAAGATTAGAGAAAGTCGTCTTAGATGGTTTGGTCACATTAAACGTCGACCATCTGATGATCCGATTAGGAGAGTAGATGTTTTAGATTCGACTTGTGTTAAAAAAGGCAGAGGTAGACTTAGGAAGACTTGGGCTTATTGTATAAAAAATCATCTTAATTTACTAGAAATAAATGAAAAATATGACACTAAATAGGTGCAATGGAGAAAAAGGATTCATGTAGCCGACCCCACATAGTGGGATTAAGGCTTTGTTGTTGTTGTTGTTGTTGTTGTTTATACCCTTTATCATCTGGAGATAATTGTCCTCAAGCTCAAATATGCTATCAAGGCGCCAGGCCTCAAAATCATTCAAGCCACAAGATAATTTGCTAATCTTGTTTAACTAAGATTTTAGTTTCTGAAAGATATGATATATGCAATTCTTGGGAAAATTTTAACAAGAAGAAGATTTGACATTTGCTATCTTTCAATAGAATGCATGATCTATGTAAAGAATAAAATTACTTACATATAATAAACTAACTAACACTTGAGATGCAACATTTTTCAATTCAATTAATATAATAATTTAATGATTAAAATTACTTATTCATTGACCATTGTAAATCTAGTGACTTAAGGCTTCATTTGGTTCAATTTTTCTCTACTTCCTTTTGTAAATGAATATTGTTTTGTATGACATAAACTTAGAAAATCACCATTTTGCATGTGTACCTTATCTAGACTTCATGAATGTTTTAACTGACTTGTGGAGCAACTTATTTGTCTCTTTGAGAGGTCGATGATTTTATTTCATATTGTAAAACAAAAACACAACATCATCGTAGTTGTACCAAATCAAGCCTAAAATCTTATCAGAATTTAATTATTAATGTAAAGTTTAAACTCATAAAGACGTTATGAATTGAATAATTCAATAGATGCACAGGAAAACATACAAATCAAACTTAAAATAAATAAATAACTGGAATAATCAATTTACTGCCCTTTCAATTAAGGAAGAAGGGGAAAAGAAAAATGGAGATTTAAACTTGCAACAAGATATTGCTAAATGGAGAAAAATAAATAGAGGTGATCTCTCTTTTTTTGTATGCTTAAGAAGAAAAAGTAATGAAATGTATAGCTAAGTTAGAAGGATCAAATTCTTGATGATATTGCATACCATACATTTGATACGAATGTAACAACATTAACAAAATGTGATGTCATTTAGCATATCCGTTGACAAAAATGGGTTATCACTTTAGTTCTCTAGCTCTTAAGCAGAGGGTTATTAAGGCACTAATGGCTGCATCTATATTTCTACATGTATTACTTGTCAAAATACGAGGCTTCATGCAATGTGTGGTTACCTGAGATGCTAGGTGGTAGGCTTCAATTAATATGGTAGTATGTTTGATATGTCTAATGTATGTGCCTATGCTGTGATGTATATTTCTTTTAATCTATCTATTGGTCATCATATAAAGTATCGAAAATAGTCCCCCAAGTGTTTAAATAAGGTCATTTTAGTCCTAAGTATATAAAAGTGTCAAAGTAGTGCCCATAATTTATAAATTGGGGCTAAAATAGACCTTTGTGGGGACTATTTCAGCGAATTTATAAAAACGATGAGAACTAAGTGAACACTTTTATAGACTCTCAGACTAAAATGACCCATTGCAAAGAGCTAGGGGACTATTTTGCCACTTTTCTTATTGGTGATTTGATGTATTGCCATATTCTCTTTTTTTTCCCAGGTTCCCACCTTCAATGAAATGATTGACATGTGGAAGAAAAAAAAAGCGAACACTTTTGGAATTCTCTACAGTTGGTTTCTTGCCAAGGCATAGTATCTTCTATTTTGTTTTTAAAGCTATGGTATTTGACATTATTCTTTCCAAATTATGGAATTTGAGAAAATATTTCATTGGTGTTTTATTTCAGGTTGCTGAGAGACTTGAGGTTTTCCCTGGTGCAGAATTCCGTGTGGCATTTGAGGAGGCAGTTAGTTATGGTGCTAGGGTTTTTCTTGGTGATCGTCCTGTGAATGTATGAATCCTTAATCTATATTGAAATGTATCCTTTATGGTTGATTATAGTACAATTTTGCTCTAACTTCAGAAATTTCTGGCCTTAAAATTTACTTGAGATGTCTATATTGCTTTTTCATCCCGCTTTTTTTAGAGTCTATGCAAAGAATAAGTTAGGCCTATCGCATAAAATGGCTGGAATGCAAAATCTGCCTGAACCCCTCATCTAATTATTTTTTTTACTAATATTAGGGATGCCATTAATGTGCCTAATGTGTGGACATTGCTCATCTGTGTGCATTTTTATACCCATTAAGACATGTTTCTAGGAAATTTATCTTCTATGTTTTGTGTGTTTTATAGAATTTCTCTATGGCTTTCCTTCATCATATAATCTAGATTTTGGACTTATTGTGGTATAGACATTACAAATTTTTGTGCTTGGTTTTTCATTGTAATGTTTGGCCGTGATAGTATTTCTATATATATGCTATGATCTGAATCGCTCATCGATTTCAAAACCAGTGTTTAGGAGGGTTGGGTCAAAGGGGATTTCCAAATAAGCTGTCCTATCTTTACCCTGCCTTGGGTGATCTGAGTTTTGTTGTCTTACTGTTTCACACACATTTTATGCTTTGTACTTGTTTAATACCTTATACTATTTTTTCTATTACGGTGTTTTCATATTCACGCTATGTTCTGAATGGCTCATCTATTTCAATACAATTTTTGTTTAATTTTTTACTTAGATTACATTGCGGAGAACGTGGGGGAAGATGTCAATATGGCACAGGGCAAAGTTTTTATATTACATAATCTTTCAAACTTTTTTTCTGCCCAGCCCCGAAGATCTCAATAAGATGGTAAGTGGTCATTAGAATTTTTTTTGCTTTCCTGTTTTTGCTTTATGTACTTATTAAATTTGATTATTCATTTTGCTTATGCACCAGCTTATATCACTTGCTCTAATGCTTTCAAAAGAAAATTTTTACAGGTGCTTTCACCTTTACTTCTCTAACTCTGTCTTCTCAATCATTATATCGGTTTATTTTGGTGTTAAGTTTCTTGAAGATTTCTCATCACACACGCGCACACAAACACACATTTTCTCCACATCATAAAGCGATGGTTTCATGATTGAATGATTGAAGAAATATGTTGAGAGTTTGACAAGCAGTTCATTTCTTTAGGAGCATGTCAACCTATCGTTTAATTTTTGAAGTGTGAAGAAAAACTAAATTCATCTGTTGTTTTGTTCTTGTTCAAGTTGGCCCCTGGCATGTCATGCACATTCTAGGAAGTGTTTTGCATTGGAGGCATTATGACTATTAATGACAAATGAAGGAAAAAAGCATTACTACTCAGCGAATGGTGGGAGTATATGCTTGCTTTCTTTTTTTTGCATTTGTTCTCAATTCTTCAAGTCTAAGAACTACACTGCTAGTTGTGTTGAACTGATGCTTGCAATGATATTGGTGGCGAGGAAGAATGGACTTAGGAGGAAGGTTTTCCCCTACTCTTGTTTGAGCTCATCCATCTCTTTGTTAGTTTATGGACGTGGATGGTGGGTGATGGATGATGGATGATGGATGATGGATGTTGGAAATGAGATTCCACAGAAGGTACTTGGCCATGTGCATGAGTTCGGGATCTTTTTTTTTTTCATAATTTTTTTGTAAATTTAGCTTATGCAATTTAACATTTCTTTGATTCAAGTGTTATAATACATTCTTATTCACAATTCTGTATCAATCCTTAAGATGCAATGTAGATCTTGATACATATCTTTTTCCCATTGTCCAGTCGCTTGTGAACCCTTAAAATTTTCTTAAGCTTATTTCCTTATGCTGAACTTTACAGGTGAAGTCCTGCCATGGTTGAAAAAGTTTGTGAGACCCAAATAAGTTCATACCCATCGTTTTATCTATCTCCAATATTAACTGCACTTGAATCTTTGATCAAGGTTCTTTCAATCATTTCATCAAATGCGTTATTTTTTGAGATTAAAACTAATAGTACTGACCCACTTCTCATTGTTCATATCTTATTCTTCTTCCATATGGATGATTCTACTTTGTCTATCAATTGAATTTCCCTCATTTGTTGAACAAATCATAATTATCATTGCAGGGTGAAAGCTTGAGAAAAATGCTGCTGAGAAAAATGGTGCACATTTCTCATAAAGGATTGTGTTTGGGTGGAAAGAAGAGAGATAAGGAAGGATGCCTAAGCCTGTTGTTTTCATTATTGTGCTTGGCAAGGGGGTAGAGTTTCGTGGAAGGCCAACATTATAGGTTGATGGAAGTTGATGTAGATTTTGAATCCACGACTAGAATGTTTATGGAAAAAATTTAGCATCAAAGTAGATGAAAATGTGATAGAGGGTGAATTTGAAATCTAGTTGAAACCATCATTAATATAATCACAAAGACTGAAAGAATTATGGATATATTTGAAGCTCACTAAATTGGAACTCTTGTGCAAGTAACACATACACATATTTGAAGCTCACTAAATTATTTCCTATCTTATGTGGAGTTGACAACCTTATGTGACACATACTCATTGACCTATGAAAAACTCACCTCAAACACCTTCACCAATATCGAAGGTATTTGTGAGGGACTTCATTTGTATCCATGATCAACTATATATCCATAATCTTGATTAGCATCACATCCACAATCTCAATCATAAAAAAATGTCAACAGATCAGCAGTCCCACAAGAATGTTTCAAGTACTTTTGAAGACCGTAGATCCCACACTTAGTGATGGAGGAAACTCACAAATCTTGAGGCACATGAAAGGCAGTTGTGAGTTTGTGATGCCTAAAAATCTAGCTATTGTAATAGAAGTGTGAAGGTAGAGGAAATCTCAGGAGGTGAAGAGTTTGTGAAGGTAGAGGAAGCTAGAGGAAATAAAATTTTGAGTCAAGGGAGGATGCTGTTATTGAGGATGATTGTTGCTCGAGTTGGAGAGGCTATTGGATTCACAAAAATTACCATAACGCTTACAAACATGAGTGATATTTACCCTTCTAATTATATAGTGATATTTCTACTTGCTTAGTCAATATTGCTTTTGGGTTATTTGAAAGTTTATGTTTTTTTACCTGCAGTTTGATGCAATCATTCCACTAGCATATTCTATGAAATGCCACACATAGATGTGCATTTAAGTTATGACCGAAGGCCATAAATCCCTCGAAACCTGAAAGTTTTGAGGCACGAGAAAGGAAATTGCAAGTTTGTGATGCCCACAAGTTTAGCTATCATAATAGAAGTGTGAACGTGGAGGTATTCACAAGAGTTGAAGAAGCTGCGGCCGTAGCATTGCAGCTTGAGTTTGAGAAAGCTATTGGATTTGCAAAATATGACCATACCACTTAGGGAATGAGGAAATTTACGCTTCTAACTACTTAGTCATCTTCTAATTGGTTGGTGACCTTTGTTTTTGGTTTATTTGAATTTTTTTTGGTTTTAGTTCCTTTTACCAGTTAGCCTAATGCAGGCTTTGCACTAGCACATTTTATGATGAATGCAACACATTGGTGTGCATCTACTTTCCAAACATCATCTAAGGCATAATCCAATGTCAAGCTTGTATGTCAAGCTGGCAAATAGTTGATATAGTATGGCTTATAAGTCTTGCATGCCATCGATTTGGTTCACGTAGCGTAATTGTTTGTTTGGCTAACACTGTTCTTGTTACCCCATGGTATAGGCTAAGAAGGAACATTATATTAGATCAGTGGCTATGGGCGAATGCCATTTTACATTCTTAAATAAATGTTGGTCACAACTTGTTGAGAATGTTTTAATACTTATGCTTCCATGCCATGAAGTTATAAAATGTAATATTATGATTCAAGGTCCTTGATGGACTTAAAGGCTCAATCATCACAATAGGAAAAAACGGGAAAAGTAATGAAGGTTTGATTTTCTATTATCATGAACTTTGTTTTATAGATATTCTGATGATCCTGTAAATCCAAGCATGTCAGTAATCCCGCTCACATGCAAATTATGCCAGCCGGGTTCAAGAATATCAATATTAGACTCATGATGTTACCATCATCTTCATTTCCATGTTGAAAGCAAGTTCTTCAAGGCCTGCTCATGGTGATATGATTTGTGCGATCATAGGCTTTGCAAAGTCAATGTCCTCTAAGCACATGAATACATTTACAAAATTGTCACACATTTTCCATGATTTTGATGAGAGCTCTGGCTCCATTCCAACATCTAATCATTTAATGCTGCTATAGTAAGTTGATTGCATGGGTGATAATAGGTTAATTTTTTTCTCTTTTTCTATTGATGTGGACTTCTATGCCTATTGGGGGAAAGATATGCATTTGATAGTTTTTTATGAAATGTTAATCTTGCAATTCTAAGTCATATATTGATTCTTACCGGTTATTTATTGTAAGTTCACTTTTCTTTCTTTAGCTGAAGGATATGGATGATGTTGACGTCCTAACACTTGTCATTCAAGAGATGAGCAAGGCTTTTCCTACTATCATGGAGACAGTGTTACATGAGCGGGATATGTTAGTATATTCATCTATTATTGTTTTAATAATTTATCTAATATTTTTTGGGCTAATTCTTAGTTTAAGCTATAATTAAATCATATTGTCCCCATTCATGCATATGTTTGGGTGCGCTTGCTTTAGGAAGCACTTGTCATGGCCGAATGAACAATTCACTTATCAAATATATCCTAAACATTCTGGCTTTAGTTTGATTAATACTTTGTTTAGGGAAACTTAAGCTTTTGTATTCTTGCTATTAAAAGTTACTTACCACAATTTCAATTGTGTTTTTCGAGAGCAACTCTTTTATTACAAAATTGAAAATTCTACATAAGCACGAAAGAAGTTATCCTCCAAACGAGTGCCTTATTTTGCTGATTATTTTTACTACACAAGAAGTGTCAAGAAGCTTTTGCCAAATTAAACCTATATAAAATACTGAATGGCTGTAGCCGCTTAATAAAGGAGTCCATCATATATTTATATATACATTTAAACATGCTTGTTTGAGAGTAGTGAACATGAATGCTCGTCATGATAGTTTTTTTATTTAAATATTTTCGTGGGATTTTTTTTTTTTATGAATCCATACTATTTTCTCTTTCTTTCGTGCTTCTTGTTATAAAAATCTTTGTAATCTTCAAATTTTATTAGGAATTCCACTTTCACGGGCCAAATATCTCTTTCATATTTAGCTTAGCTTCAGCTTTGGGGCCTGATCCTAATTTTACATTGCAAACCAATATCTCTTAGAACATTGATTTTTTAAAAAAAATAAAAAAAAATTAAAAAATAGAAAGGAATCAGATTAGTGCATAATTAGGAAAAAATATTGTTGTTATATTGCTTAAGTTATTTAAATAAATTAGAAATTTTGATTTATTTATGTGATATACTTTTTATGTTATAGCTTCTCATTGGGGACATATTTGTTTGGCACACGTGTCCATTAATTTCTTTATTTCTCTTAATTGTACTAGTACATGGTGTGTCTGACATATTTGGGGTGCGCGTCGGACACGTTTAAAGGTGCATGTAAGGCAAATGCATGTTTCGTTTACTTGTCTTAAAAACATAATTGGATGTCATGTCCTTCTCTTCAGCAATACTAACACCTTCAGAATTTCAATGCTTCATCGCGCGCACACTTGAAAGTTAGAAGTCCACCTCATTCTTTAGCTTTATGTATTATAGATTGGATAAATTGTAATAGACCAAGGATATGGGATCCAGTGTTGATGATCTGAAAAGGGATTCATAGATACACTTTCGAAATAAACTTCTCTTGATTTTTTTTTTCAATTTACACATTTTATGGCAGAAATACAGCTCCTCCATTTCCATATTGAAATCACTTTCATCGCATGTTTAAGGAAATTTTTGAAATGAGGCATTCCGTTTCCATGAACAACAAAAACTAGACTCGTGAAGTTATAGCGGGTACATGTAAAAATTGGGCATGCCTTTATGAACTTTACTTTGCTTACTAAATACTGCAATATAACCAATTTGTAGAGGCCTATAAGATGAGATGTTTAGAGGATCATCCTTTTTTTCTGCTCTTTTAATTCCAACATTTTTTCCCCATCTTTTATACTCTTTTTATTCTATCATTTTTTTCCTGAAGTGATTAATCATTTATCAGCTTATATTTAATTTCAGTTTTATTTCACAAAAAAGTTTTTGTTTTTTTCTTTTTCTTGGGGATCAGCTACATGTCCTCAAAACTATTGAAAGTAGCTAGTGAACACTCTTCAGTTGTTGCAATTGTGGGTAAAGGGCATTTGCCTGGAATAAGGAAGAATTGGAAGCAGCCTGTTGATGTAAGTTTCAATGTCCATATTCCCCATTTCTTTTGAGTTATTTATTGAGTTCATAGAAAGTAGGTCTTGAAATGTGGTTAAGTTTTCTCCATTGTGATCTTAGTTGTCGGATCAAGAATACAACTTCTCTACGAATATACGGGCAAATAAGACTGCGTATATCAACTCCTTTCCCAACGCCCACATTGTTGGGAGTTTCCTGCAGCGGCTGTCTGGGGCATTTACATACATACCACCTAATTACTATCTATCTACATATCTGACACCTAAACTTTACATTCTACATATGTACGACTAAATCTTTCACATCACATCAAAAATACCACCATTTTAACTTTTAAAATGTGAAATACAGCTTTTTATGAATAGGTAAAGGCATATGCACGTAAAAATTGAAGTCTAGGTGTGAGATAGGTAAATTCATTGGAATTGAGTGGTATGTATTTAAATCTCCTCTCTTTTTATCATTCATAAATTTCAGATCATGGGAATGTAACCTACACTAGCATTTGAAGCTATTGCTTCACCCCCTCAGGATCCACAAAAGTTAGCGATTTAATGCATTGTAATATTCATTGGGAAGTTTTTTACATATTCGACTTTACTATGCATGAAAAGAATGCATCTTACTTTTTACTATGCATGAAAAGAATGCATCTTACTTTTTAAAATTTAAAATAGTGATATTTTTGACCTAATATAAAAAATTTGGCTGGTATAAATGTAAAAAAGGGCGAAGTATAGGTGTTAGATATGCAAACATATAGCAAATGGGTGGCACGTATGTGAATGCCCCTGTGTTTCTTGGTTTCAACATTTGTGACATTTGATAAAAGTACCTGGTATAAAGTTGCTTTTTATATGTTATTATTACTCCCTCTAAATCCTTTTGTGCATGTGCGCCTCGTACAGGTAAAGCTTCTGTTGCAAATTACTGGTACCAGCGCTGCCATTTCCAAGACAAAGATTATAGCAGCAGGTGTTGCTGTTGCAGGAGTTGCTGCGGCCTATAGCATCTATCTCATGGGCAAACGGTAACAAATGAATCAATTAATCAGTTTGATTTTATAGACATTTCTGTTTCAAATTCTGTATCATTAATGTCTATGAATGAATTCTGTTCTTTTGCAATTGAAACATTGATATTTATTAACCATCATAAATGGGTTTAATGGCTGTGTGGTGTTTCTGTTTTCAGCAAAAGTCGAGCAAGATTTAACTTTAGTCTTGCCAAATAAGATTTTGGGATTTTAAATTTTATTATTTTATTAATTTTTTTTAATTTGAAATCTATTAAATATCCCTTTTTAATAGATTTAAGGTTTTTTTTTTTTTTTACTATTAGAAATCTTACATCTTAAAAGAAACAGCAAAGGAGCATGCATTTACAAACGTACCCCCCAATTCCTATGTATTTACATATACTACACTTAAACTTTACTTTTTACAATAATACCATCCAAAATTCTCTTATCACATTGAAAAACTTGTAAAAATTGAAATACAACATTTCATGCATGGATAATGTGGCAATGACACATGTCAATACGGTAGGAATTCAGGGGTGTGCATGTAAGTCTTTCCGAAATTTATCAATCAATTCTGGCTGGCCTAAAACAATTGAGTCCCACTCAAATGTCTTTCAACCAGTTGAAATTTGACACGTTAACTTGCAATTAAAAAATATTTCTTCATCAATGCGAGTAAATATTACATGTGGCAACTGCATGTTACAACGGTCTAGATGGGCCGCCTTGTGATACACGGCGGCATGATCACATCTAGATCGTCGTCCAAACATGTGATTCGCTGCATGTAATATTTTCTCGACCAACAAAGCTATCACTCTCTATTGAGTGTTACTATAAGCCATTACTTTTGTATATCCTTAATGGATGATGAAGTGCAGACCCATAAGTATATATTAATTTCTCAATCACATTAAATTAATCCTCTTATTACTAAATAATATTCCTTTTCAAAATTTACACAAAAATCCAATGAATGTTACACTTTCCTTTCCATATTGTCGCTTGTCTACTTTTGGCTTTAATGTTAACATTTTAGCGGAAAATTAAGTGCATTCTATAATATTCATGTGATATGTTTAGTTCTATAGCCTTGTTACGTTACCAACAAATCTTCGTTATCCAACACAAATCTCGAGGCAAATCATGAATCTTGAGATAATATTCTGAGCAATGGATGTTCAAACCTTGATAAAAACTCATTCAGAGCTCAGATTTCAAGAAACTTATAGTCAAACTGTCCGGCTAGATGAGACGGACATAATGATATCAAATTCATTCCAATCTGAGTCAAATTAAACCCATATCAAGTCATTAAACCATTCTTGAAAGATTTTTGTACACATTTAGAAGGTCAAATGGTTGTCGAATCTGGTAAGTTTATAATCGAATCGATCGTCTCAATAAGACGAATCCAAAGTGCCCAAGATTGCAAAATTCTGATATTGTTAAGACACTCAAATATCCATTAAAACTCGTTTGATCGGAGGAAGCTCTCCGGACCGTTCGATCAAAATGATTTATATTTATGCTTTAATGACACCTAGAACACTATAAATAGAGCCCCACATCTCATATGAGAGGAGAGAGCTGAAGCTTCAGAGAGAATAAGAAGCTCTGAGAAAGAGCTGAAGTCCAGCACCATCCCGACCGTCGTCGACCATCGTCGATCACCATCGACCACCGCCATCATCATCGACACCCGTCGATCGCCGTCAGCCACCGTCGACCATCATCGCGATTTTTCACTGTCGATCACCACCAATCATCGTCGATCACCACCAACCAGACACCGTCACTCATCGTCGTGGGACATAAGCTCATCACTATAGTCCATGACTACGGTCCATGTGCCAACAACGACCTACGTGGTTCATAGCTCGTGCAACTCCCGACTCCGACCCCCGCAGCCTTTGGACGTCATTCATACTCGCCCCCACGACCTACGTGGTTCATAGCTCGTGCAGCTCTCGACTCTGAACCCCACGACCTATGGACTTCATTGATACTCAACTCTACGACATACATGGTTTATAACTCATGCAGCTCTCAACTCTAGCCTTCGCAGCCTACGGACGTCATTCATACTCCCCCCTACGACCTACCTGGTTCACACCTCGTGCAGCTCCTGACTCTGTCATCTGCGACCTGCGGATGTCATTCATACTTGCCCAAACAACCTACGTGGTCATTAGCTAATGCAGCTCCCGACTCCAGCCCTCGCAGCCTATTGATATCATTCATATTCGCCCCTACGACCATGCTCATGCAAATCCCGAATCTGGCCTCGACAGCCTACAAACGTCATTCATACTCGCCACTACGAACTATGTGGTCCACAGCTCTCACACTGCTTATTATGGTTTCTTTGGTCAATCAACTCTTCTGAAGCAGTCATCTACAACACTCATGATGAACTACTACCTCCACAACAATTAACAATGACCATTGTAACATGCTGTCACCAAGAATTTCAGCCAGATTATAATTATACAACTTTGTAATTATATATTTCCTAATTTAGGAGAAGAATGAACTTTTGTACTCATTATTCATAGTGAATTATTTCAACTAGGCTAGACCTCGTGGTTTTTCCCCCTTTCAAGGGTTTTCACATAAAAAGTTAAGGTGTCTTCCCCTTGCTTTTTTGTTTTCTGTGTTTGTTGAATTCTAGTGCAACACTAAGACGATAATCCATTACTCTACCGCTGCAAATTTTTTGGCACGCATCAAGTCTATAATCAAATGTCATTGCTTGATCTACAAATCTGATTCACCTAAACTTGTAAAAACTTTAAGATTTAGATCTTTTAAAATAAGAAAATTAAACTTCTGTTTGAAACTTATGCAAAATTGCCCACCGTTATATTTTAATGTTTCTCTTAATTTTCAATTGTTAAAAAAAAACATCTTGTTTGATAATGCAAAATTAGCTCAAAAAATATTTCTTACTTTAATCTATAATACAATTCAAAATTCTCTTTATCCTTCTCTTTTTAACAAATAGCATGAAAATTTGTATTTAATAATAGTTCATTTATTTCTTAAAAATTAATATTTAAGTCAATAACTTGTTTCAATCATGATATACTTAGCTTTATGAGAACCATTTTGATATCAATTCAAACTCAATATCTACTTAGTGCTATTACACTCAACCACTATGTAAAATAAAAAAGGCATTCACATGTATGACACTATTCTTATGTATTTACATATACTAAATTTTTTTATGTCACATATAAAATATCATTATTATTAACATTTAAAACATAAAATAAATTCTTTTAAGTTTAGATAAAGGGGCATAGATGTAAGAATGGATGTTGAAGTGCTAGATATGTAAATAAATAGGATTTGTGGGGTATATATTTAGATCTTACAAAAACATTTTGAGAGAGGGATTACATTTATTTATCATAACATAAAGTCTTGTAGTTGATGCAAGGACAATTGATTCTGTTACAATAATAAAACCCATTTTAGGTCTTAAAGAGGAAAGAGAAGCATGCCAATAGCAACCTTGTAAATACTAATTTATCTTTCAGATGGTTGGAAGCATCTCTAAGTGATTTGGAATTTTACAACCCTAAAGTCCCATCTTTAGACAGACATTAATATTTGAATCAATGCAACAATAGTAAATGTTAAGCTAAATAGGAAAAGAAAAGGCAATATAACCAATAAAATAAAGGTGATAATGCTATGTGATTAACCGAAGTAGAGGGAGCACCTCTCCCCTTGGAACTCTGGCAAGAGGTTTCCATCAGACCCCACAGCCAAGTCACAGCTTATGTGCATGTTGTGGTGATGAGTGTCCCATGTGGATAGCTTGAATTGGACAATTGAATTGAGCTCGAGCCGTAATGACACCCGACCGATGCTCGCATCTCTAGCAATATTTTGTCCGCTGGCGATGACGAGCTGGCCAACAATTTCCGTAGTGTTCTTTGGCGGCTGGTAGAATGCGGATTGGACGATACCATTTGTTAGCTGTTGGTTGTCATAAAACACAGTAGCACTAATGTCGCTGTAGTAGATGGCGATTTTGGAGTTAGGGTTGCGGTCAGAGATATCGAAGGTGACGGCGGAGAAGGAGGGGGTGGAGAAAGAGGAGAGGTAGAAGCGAGGGCGGTGGGGACGAAGGCTAAGCCAAAGGATGAGGATGATGATGCCTGAGATGAAGAGGAGGGTGAGGAGAATGGAGCATAGAAACATGGCGATGCGGCTTGTGAGGCTCTCACGAACTCGGTGGGCGTAGAAGCGAGTTCTTGCGGCACGGGTATGGCTCTGGTGGAGATGGAGTTGGGAGTGGACATCAACGGTGGCCGGAGAGGAAGAAGACATGATGTAGTGGTGAGGGTGAAGGCAAGTTGGGAAGGAATTGGATTGAACAATGAAGGGAAGAGGACAGTTATGGTGGTTTCTTGTTGCTTTGGGCTGGAGAAGGAAAGGAATAAAGTTCTGCTGAATTTTTAACACTTTAGAAAGGAGCTCGCAGTTTTTTTTTGTTCACAATGAAAAGTTATGGATAATGCTTTCGATGTTAAAAAATAATTTAATGGGAAGATATGGTAATCCTGCTGATGAAGATCGAAGCACATAGAGAATGCATTTGATTTATATGATCAACGAGGAATTAAAGATAATCCAATCTGTCATTTTGATCTAGCAAAAAGAGAGAGGGCCAAGCTGGCCCAAGCCATAACTTCACCTTCATTAAAAAGAAGGGGCATCTAAATACATACCACCCAATTCCTATGTATCTACATATCTAAAACCAAAACTTATATTTACGTTTATGCCACCCAAATCTTTCGTATCGCGTAAAAATTGGCACTAAATACACATTTTCATGCAAAGGTAATATATATAAAAATTAAAGTTAAAAGTCTTAGATATGTAAATACATAAGAATTGATTGGTATTTATGTAAATCTTCCTGAAAAGAAAGGATTAAAGTAGGAGATTACTTGATTGTCATCCCACACCAAGAATAAAGTAACCAAATTTATGAAGATTCCACCAATATAATATTTAACTGAAGCAAATATACACAATCTTATTCCTGTATTCTAGAAATGCTACTTCCACTGCAGGGTAATAGATTAAGAATATCAAATAAAAGAAACGCAGATTTTTTTTATTTTTGTGGGATGCTCAGTACAATATAAATAAGTGTAAAATAAATTTTAAATATGTACAAAATCCCTCAAATTTTACAAATATCTCCATACGGCCACGATCAAATAACAAATTTCATAGTACTAGATTGCAAGTCTTACCTCCCAACCAAACAATAAAACCTATTTCCCTAAAATTACTTTACAAGCAATCTCAGTATAAGAAACGTTTACCTTGTATTCTCAAAATAAATGCATTCTAAATAAATACTCGCAACAAAATAACTCATTGAAAGCGTGTAACTCGCCTTCTCGGCTTTATAAGCAATCAAATTTAAGTCTATGTATGAACTCAAATAGAATAGTGTCATAATAACTTTAAACAACAACAACAACAACAACAACAACAATAAAACAAATAAAGATGATTCTACTTCATCAAACAGTAATGGAAAGAAAACAAGTACCTTAATACAACCTCCATATCTGTTTACAATCTCTGAAGGCTCCACGTTTATCAATCCTCAGTATCTCTTAGATATGTGGGGCGCAAAACGTTTCTTCTTTCTATCATTGTAAATCCTCACAATAACAGCAGCAGTCTCTTCAGTGGCCTTTCCAGTGATCTCTGAAACAAATCCAATTCACAATCAATTAGAAAAAGAAACTAATCCCAACCTTGCACCAAACAAAACAATCCAGATTCAGTTACCTATTACTGGCCAAACGGGATTTTGCACAAAAATTCTGTTAGCAAACTCCAATTCTGCCCTGACATGTTCCATCTCTGCATAGTTACTCACCAAGTCTGATTTGAGTCCAAGAGTTCTGGTTCTGGCTTTTCTGATGGTCTGAAGCACCATTGGATTTATGGTTAATCCATAAATCTTCTCCTGGTTAATCTCATATATGATTTTTGGGAGATCTATACCCATAACAATGGGGACATTGGCCACCTTATAACCTTTCTGGGCCAGATAAATGGACAAAGGTGTCTTCCCCGTACGAGAGACACCAACAAGGACGATGTGGGCACATGCCAAGTTCTGTGGCAAAGCTCCATCGTCCTGCTTGATGGTGAACTCGATGGCCTCTATGCGTTTGAAGTAATCTTTTGAGAGTGGATTCCGACCAGGAGCACCTCGCGGGATGCCGGATGGGGCCACATTAATATGGGCAGCAATGGCCTCTATAGTGGGACTCAGAATATCCGTTGATGGTACTCCCCAGAGCTGGCAGGCTTGTTTTGCAGATTCAGACATGGAAGGATCTGCAAGGGTGTAAAGGACAAGAGCGCCTTCTTTAGCAGCTTGTTTTATGATCTCCATCAGTCTATCCACATCTTCAACCTGAGAGAGACAAGTGGCTTAGGATTACTAAATGAAAATATTAAAGCAGTCGACATAAGAAATTGTGTGGTCCTCTGATATTAGCAAGCCAGCAGAATAGCCATGGCCATAATGTACTGACAACCTTTTTTGAGACGAAGTAAAGCTGACAAATGTAAGCCCCTGATGCCATATTATGTCACCAATAATCACCACAAGAACAAGAACCTTGCGAAAAATGATGAAACCTTCGTGTATCCCTTACAATAAATTGCCGAGCTACAACCTTTGATATCAATTTAATGGCATCATGGCAATCCTTACAAACTCGAAGGTTCTTAGTAACTCTAATAGGAACATTAGGAGGGGCATCTAGAAGACCAAAAGCAATAGCTAATCTCTCACTATGGCTACGAAGCAGCAATTTCTTATCATCCTCCTCCACATTTAGCAAGACACATTTGGTAGCAGGCACATAACCTGCCTTTATTATCGAACAATTCAATTCCTCCAACTTTCTGTAAATATTTTCCGACTGTGAATGTGATAGGTCATGTGCTCCAAACACATATACCTTGTCCTTTATTTCAATCCAACTACAACCAGATCTTTTTGACAGCCCCTTAACAGCCATCAATCTTCTCACTTTACCCACATCATCCCATCTCCCCACTGAGGCATATATGTTTGACAAGATCACATAATTGGCTTCATTATATGGTTCGAGCCAAAAAAGCTTCATTGCCAACTTCTCCCCAAGCTTCACATTGCAATGTGCTTGACAAGCTCCAAGGAGGGATCCAAGCACAGAACCTGTTACTGGCACTTCCATTCTTTCAATAAAATTTTCAGCCTCATTCAGCCTTCCCCCTCTCCCCAACATATCCACAATACAGGCATGGTGCTCGGTACAAGGCTCAATACCAAATCTCTCTTTCATCGACTCAAAAATCTCCAATCCCTCTTCCACCAGCCCACCATGACTGCAAGCAGACAACACCACAATCAAAGTAAGGGAATTAGGCTTCAAGCCATGGACCAGCATTTCCTTGAACAATTCAAGAGCAAGCTCAAACCTCCCATTAATTGAGAACCCTTCAATCATTGAAGTCCATAACAAAACATTAGATTTCTCCATACAACTGAATACTTTAAAAGCTCCATCGGGATTTCCACATCTGGAATACATTGTAACAAGAGCAGAACAAACAATAAGATTAGAATTAAACCCATTCCGAATGGCATAAGCATGGATTGATTGGCCCTTTCTGAAAGAAGAGAAGAAGCTGCAAGCAGGCAACAATGAAACAAGTGTAATCTCATTAGGTCTGATAAATTCCTCAAATTGCATCCTAGAAAATAAGGCCGCCGATTCAACGAAGCGCTTTGCAGAGGAACTAGCATGAATCATTGAGGACCAAGACACAACATCCCGATCAGGCATTCTGTCAAACACTTTATGTGCACCAGAAGCATCTCCAAAAGACCCATAAGCATGAATAAGCGCATTTCCGACAGATACAAAGGAATCAAATCCAAACTTCAGTATCAGTGAATGCAAATTAGTACTCAAACAATACAGAATCAAATCAGTAGAAGCCTTCAGCAATGCCGAAAAGGTATAAGAATCTAGATCCAGCCCAAGCTCAAGCATTTCACAAAACAGCTTAATCGCTTCGCGGGGAGCCTCATTTCTAACATAACCGACAATCATCGCAGTGCAGGCAATGGTATCCAAGTCCGTTTCAGGAATTCTATCAAACACCTCTCGAGCATCATCAACCCGATCACATACACAGTAGAGCTTCAGCAGTTTGGGAAGCAAAGCCGGATTCATCTCTAAACCAGCTTCCCGAATCTGAACATGCAGCTTTCTCCCCTGCTTCAGGGATTGAGAATCGATGCACAACTGAAGAAGAACGGCGAACTCCGAAGAAGACGCCATCGGAAGCTGGGCTTGAGAAACCTTAGCTGAACCGGGGTTTGTGTGCAGCCGACTAGGAACGAAGAATGGATTTCGGATTTGGCCGCCAATCATGGATTTCTGATAATTAGCATTACGCTCTCCACCAGTTTTGAGCTATAAAAATCCCATCTTTGTGGGGTGATTTTGGAAGGACTATCCACTCGGGCGAATTAAACAGTAGTATTTATTATAAAAAATGTTTTTTTAAGTAAAAATTGTAAAAAGAAAAAGACGAGCTTACCCCAGAGAAGAGAGAGGTACTAACAGGACAGCGATGATCGACACGGCAGTTTTCGAACTGCCCTAAAGCGGCGTTGACGGAATGCTCCGCCGTCCATCCGGTGCCGTCGGAGACCATATAAATCGGCTTCACGTCCGACGGGGACGGGGACGGCGGCGTCGAGCCCTCCTCGCTATCGCTCTGGTCCGGCGAGATATCGCCGGAGCCGAGAGAGGAAGATGGTATGCTTCCGAGAGACGGCCAATCGAGCCTGCGGCCGGAGCGGATGGCCCGAGCTCGAGACCAACGTTCAAGAGTGGGACTGGTTTTCGGAGAGAATCTGGGCGAGCTGTCGCCGGCGAGGGGGCTAGCCGCTTTATCGGCCCTATCGTCTTGTTCGGGGGGGAAGTTTGGTGGCGGTGGAGGGACGGCGATCGGCCTTGGTGATGAGGAAAGGATCTTTTGTTGAATCATTTTCGAAATTTGTTTGTGGTTTAGAATTGGAGAAAATATTATATCCTTTATGTGCAGATAAGTAGTTATGATGGGAGTGTGCTGTGGGAGCACACATTATATTTCATTCTGATTTATTGTCCACACAATACGAATATTTAAGGGGCATTACAAATACGTACCACCCGATTCCCATGTATTTATATATCTAACACCTATATTTTACTTTTTAAACTTATATCACGCAAATCTTGCTCGTCACATCAAAAAGCCACCAGTTTTGATACTGATAGACATGCAAATACATAAGAATTGAGTGGTGTTGAGAAATTAGAGAGAAGAAAAATAGTAATCGACACAAATCCAGAAGAACACACAGATTTATGAGGTTCTGCAAAGATGCCTACATCCAGTGACGACTTCCTTTTCAATATTTGGAAAAGAATACAAAATACAAGATTCATAATCTCAGAGTCTCAGAGACTTCCATAAGGTTACAAACATGACATATATATAACCCTATAGTACAATATGTAATTACTTAAATTATCCCCGTACCAAACCGTAGGGTGTTGCCCCCGCACCCCCAACCCACATAATGAAACTCCCCCGATTGGACAGATCCTTCCGCTCGTGGGCTTCGCTCCGCTCCAGCATCTGTCCCATTTATGGTATATGAGTCATACCTAAAAAGTAGTATGCATGTAAAGCTTCCTTTGAGAAACAAAATGAAATAATAAAATTCATTTTCATCTTTGCATCATGTATACTCTTTTATCCTTTTTTTTAACAATAATAGAATTTTATTACGAGAAGAAAGCATAAAAAGGGTTTAACGAGGACAATGAATTCCTTATGTAGCTTTAATTGAAGGTTCAAGATGTAATTAAGAAAATTACAAAACGTACAAGAGTATAAGCAAGATTAGAAATATCACCAATCACTCGTATAAAAGTCTTACACAATTATGAAATTTTTTTCCCACAATAATGTAGGAATAGCTCTTCTTAGTAATTTTCCATTTCCGCCATCTTTGGTTGGTTCAATATTTTAACATCAGCTAACTTATTAATTTTTTGAAATAAAATAGAGCTAGTATAGAGCAACTAACTACTCAAGTCTTTGGCCAGTGAATATATGATTAGCAATTAGCATATAATAATGAATAAAAGCTATATAATGAAAAAAATCAAGTCACATTTTTCAAAGGAGTGCTATATGTTTTGTAAAAATATATGTAAACCGCAGGCCTTCCACTAGTTCATGGTTAAACTTTACATCAATCAATCTCAATTGAATTCTAATCAGATTGAAACCATTCATTGTATTATGCCAAAGGAGTGCTTTTTTGTCATCCTAAGATTTAAAACATTTTTATTAGACATATCTTATTCATCATTAAAGCCAAAGGTAAAGGTAGGTTTACCATTCATGTGAAGCTTATTGTTCCATGAAAAATGAAACAAGAAACAAACCATCAACATTAATATATTTATCTTATTACTTACATTTTAAGATGTAACACACCTTTTCACAGGTAACTTTATCACATCAAAATGTTATGAATACAAATATGAAAGTTTAGATGTTAGGTATGCAAATACAAAAGAATTGTGTGGATCGGTAAACAAAGTGTCCAAAACAGATATGTCCAATGGAAGCTTGTTAGGATTGCACTAGCCACCAATATCTCCATCTTTCTATGCCGGTCTAAGTGCTGTCATCACCCTTGGTATGTTGCCAACCACCTTGACTCTCACAGCAAATCTCCCTGTTGATCAAAGGCTCATCCATACCCACAACCCATCTTCAAGTGCTCATTGTCGTGCCCTTCTTAGTTATAGTCGGTAACTTGTTGAAGCACCCGTGCACCATCGCTTCTTCATAAGAGATATGTCATTGATCACTTGTTGCAGTTGGAAGTTGAACATTCAGAGCTAATATTTAGGGACACTTTGGTTTGCTGAAAAAGGAATGTACTGTAAAAGGAATTTATTGCATTTAAAATATGTGGAAGTTGTTTAATTTTAATTTAAAAATGTAGGACTTCAAATTTTTTTTATTTGGATTAAAGAAAAATAAAATTAATATAAACATGGCTAGCAGGCCGCCCAGACTGGCTGGCTATAGCTGCTAACAGCGTTGGTGGGAGGCAGGCAGCAGTAGGCAGAGAAGGGCCTACATGTAGTAGCTAGTGGCCAGGCAGATGAAGGCGGGGAGGCGGCAATGTGCAACACTTTATATAACACGGTGTATTTGAAATTCACCAAACGCAATGAATTCTAAACACATTGAAGAAGAACTAGAGAAAGAATTTCAAATGCATTACAAATTTATACTAAATTTGAAAATCATCTAACCAAACACCCAAATTTATAAAAGTCCTGCAAAAAGGAAGCAGTGCCCTCCGTTTGCAGCAAATCAAACGGCCTCTTAATATAAAAACAAACTAATGCAGTCATTACACTACTTAAGCTTTGTTTGAAAGTGAGGAATTGGAGTACAAACAATGGTTATGAAAGCGCAATGCGCAATGAGATGCGTAAGGCTTTATTTTTTCTTCAACATGTAAAGTGCAGAGCGAAGCGACATTTCTATTAACTAAAGTACTAATAAGTTATATAAAACTATTAATATATAAATACATTTATTAACAATCATAGAATATGAAGTATAACCTAAAAGTTGATATAAAATAAAAAAAGTACGTAACTAACTTGAAAATAAACATTGAGAGTGAACCTGCAAATTAATATTTGAATAAGTTATAATAGTTGTCGAAATAATTAAATACTTAAAAATTGCAACATAAACCTGAAATTAACTTCAGCATTTCGAAGCACACTTTAGTGAAGCTAAGCAGTCAGCGCACGCTTTCTTGCTCTGAAGCACGCTTTTAGAAACAGTGATTCAAAGAAAACAAAACTAACACAAAATCTCAAACAAACTATTGCATTCTTATCAACAAAGTGTCTGATTAAGATTGATTCTTTAACTTCTCTTATTAACCTAATACAAATATTAATCATCTCACATTCAGAATATCCTATCATCATAAGGTCGGGCAAGTGATAGCCAACGACATAGAAAGTGATAATGATTTGTGATCCATCTTGCCAACCAAGATTGAATTCAAGCTATCAAAAATAAAGACAGAATTTCCACCTTCAAGTTTCTAGGTTGTGTTGCAAGAATCATAATCTTCCTTTTATGGAAAAAAAAGTTCAACAAATCCATCACCATTTCTGTTGCACTGTCCCTAACAAGAGGAAAAATATAAGAAAATGCATCTGTATCAAGCAAGCACCTAGTTGGGATGACTTAGATGTACATGTCAATCGAGCTATTGAGAGCCAAAAGGCATCTGCATGGTAGAGGCAAAAATTACACATGGAAACCACATGTCTGGACGAAGGTTGGATGGGCCGCCGTAGGATACACCGCGGCGTGGCCGCATAAGGACCGTCGTCCAGACATGCGATCCGCCACACATAATATTTTCTCACATGGTACATGCAAAATTAATGGAGAGAATCTCGCATATGTGATGCGGGATTGGGTGATCTATGGGCTTGACCACAAGCAACAAGAAAAATATTGCAATGATCAACAAAAACAATGAATAGTAAACTGGAAGAGATGGCAATAGAACGGGAGATAGAGCTGCATATGAGGCAGAAATGGTTGAGATTTTCTTGATTAAGTGGTCAGTGGCAATGACTTGTCTAATTTGGCAAAGGCAAAACTAGTGGTTGACAAACTGTAGGCGACTAAGTTGCTGTCGAGATCAAAGATTTGGTATTTCCTGCACTTCGCATCAATGGGGGATGAGATTGTGATACGGATGTGGAGATATGGATGGATGGATTCAGCCTTCATCATCAGATCTATTTGGATATGGAAAAACTCAAAAACAATTGAATCATGATAGTGTGATCCTGGATAGTTGGATAGAGCACGACATGCGACGATGCTTGCAAAAGCATAATCAAGTAGAGATAAAAGGTAGTTCTAGGTGGGATGTTGCCTGTAATAGTAGAATTGGGAAGAAGCGAAAAATAGGAGAGGAGATAGTGAGAAGAACAATAGCTTTGAAAAAGGATCTTAATGGTTGGGAGAATTTGTAGAAAGAAGAAAGAAGAGAAAGAAACAAAAGAGAGGAGATTGTGATCGGACAAGGAAAGAGGTGAAAAACAAAGTTGCCGCAATGATATCACCATTGATACAATCCCATTTTTTAATATAAACAGTAATTCTAGGATCCAACAATTCCATAAAAACTGGAAGGGGACAAGAAGAGAGGAATAACTCAGAGATTAGAAGAAACTTACCACATTCATTTCTTATACCTTGAATATCTCCAAATGGAGCTATTTATAGATGTGCAAGAAAAATTAATTCATTAATACTAATTTCTAATTAATTAACTTATCTTATTAACCTAATAAAAGAAATAATCATCTCCCATTCTCAATATTTTATTATGTATATCCCCCTACAATCAAATATGTGAAGTAACAGTTTAATCAAGGATTTGAGTTACTCTCATTGTTGATCTTCTCATGCATCTCATCCACATGCAACCCATCCTCTAAAAGTTTTTAAATATTACATTTATTATTAGTATTTTCAATCTATTTGTATAGCTCTTTCTTCTCAAACAAAAGGAAAAAAAACTCATTTTAGAAGAAAAGGTTAACCCATCAGTTCCTGACCAGTAGTCCGACCATCTCAGTTCACATAGGACTTGGATTTAGGTATTGTAAAGGCAATTTGTTGGAATAAAAGATGAATATATATGAGTGTGGTATAGAATCAAGTTATATAATTACAGGAAAGAACACTAAAAAAATATAAAAGCGCATCAAAGGATAGCATACTTTGAAGAAAATAGCAGAAACATACTTAAAAAGAAAAAGAAAGCACCGTCTTCTCTGATGCAAAAGCTGATCTTTCTTCAAACTTAAACCTCCTCCAGGTCCTGTTTTGATACGTTGCTATGCCCCTCATACTCCAACTTCACACCCAGATTTGCTGAAATAATCCGAAACTTAAGCCTAATAGCATCCATCATCTCTTGAACATTCTCATTCTCCGGCTGAAAAAGGGGATAGTTCTCCACTAGCTCCGACAACTGGTCGATCCTCTTCTGAACACGAGAAGAAAATGAATTCGGGTCTATCTCGATGGCTGATTTCCAAACATCCACACAGCCACGATAAAAACCCAATTCCTCACCAACTTGGAATCCATGCTTCAAGCCAACCTCTTTCCCATCTTCTTTTCCAGAGATCACGCCATCTCTATAACCGTCTCTAAAGCCCTCTTCATATTGGGTTTGTTCCAAAAGCACAGTAGAATCAAGAAAGTCGGTGGGAACTCCGGCTGTAGGTTCCATGGGTCCAGTAACAAGGGAGATTCAGCAATAGCAGGTAGAGAACTGCAAGGTAAAGCAAACTCATTGCTAATATAAAAATTAAATTAAAACGGTATCATATTCTGAGCTAAAATCGATGTTCTAATGAAATGCTTAGTCGTTCCTTCTTAAGAACATGCAACTAGCTCAGGTGGCAAAATCTTGCTAGACGGTCAGTTTGGACAGAATAAATCCGTCACTTTGATGAATCCGGATTTCGCCAATTTCGGCCGTAAATCCCGGATTCGGTAAATCCTATGAATCGGCGGACTTTAGTAAAACCGGGACGGGCGGCGCGAACAGGCTTACCTTCCGCAATGGTTTCTGGGTAGGAGCGGTGCCGAGCGGAGCCGAGCGGAGGGATGAGAAGGATGGGAGTTTCGGTGGTCTCTGTACGCCGCAATCCCGTTATTGCCTTCCAAGCGATCGTTCACGAAGGCGATGGTTTTGGGCGAAACCGAGAGAGAGGTTGCAGGCGAGGGTTTTGGACAAGAGGAAGAGGGGAGGGTGACATAGGTTTATGGTTTTAATTTATTTGTATTTAAGTTTAATTGTATTAATTTAACTGATTAATAATTAATTCATTATTATTAAATTAATTATAGTTATATAAATTTATATGTAATTAATTAATAATTAAATAATGACCAAAAACTATTTTAGATTTAAAATTATTTAATAGAAATCTAAAGTAATTTTTTTATTAATGTGATTAATCAATAACTAATTAATGTTAAATTATTGTTTAATAAGTATTCAATTTAATATAAATTTTATTATTAACTAATTAATGGCTAAAATATATTTTTTAAATTATTAATTATTTAAAAAAATTCTAAGTGATTTTCAATTAATAAAATTAATTAACAATTGATTACTGTTAAATTATTTCTCTATAAGTAATTGGTTTCATAAAATTTTATTGAGGATTAATTAATTTAGTAAATAATTAATTTTTAATGAGCATAATTAGAATTTTAATTTAATAATTGATTTTAATCATTATAATAATATAATCAATGTTTAATTTTAATTTTTCTTAACAAACATAACAAATTATTAAATCATGATAAAAATTGTCAAACTGTTTGACAAGATTTAACTAGATTTATTAAATCTATTGTGAAATAATTTTAGGGGTTTAACACTTGCAAGATTTATTAAATCTAAATTTACATTATTTACTAAATCATATTAACTTAAATCTATTCATTCGTCATACAAATCATTAGTGAAAAAAATTCTCTTATACAAGCAAGCCACTAGAAGATAAATATATTGTATAGGAAGGCAACTTAGAACACTCGGCTTCATATAACATTCGGTTGAACCGGGGTTGAATTGGGTGACATACTAAATATAGAAACTATTAAATTTAACTTAAAGAGAACAATAATGTCGTAATATGCCTAGTATAAAAAAAATATATCATAAAATAGAAATCATATGTGAACTTAAAAAATTAATTTAAATGTCTCTCAAAAAGAGGATTAGCAATCAGGTATTATAATTCAAAAAATATCTCTGAACAAACACTAAAAAAAAATAAACAGGTTCAACGACTGGGTCACCGATTCCAGCTGGATCACTGGTTGGTCCACTGATTCTAGTTGGTTCACTCCGGTTCAATGTCGGGGCGATTTTTAGGTCATTTGGAATTGGACCTCCAATCAGTTCATGATCAAACCGGTTGAACAGGCCGATTCGATTCAATTCGATTTTCTAGACTATGGAATAAAGGTAGATGCCTTCACCAACAAACTCATGTGGCTGCTGCTACTTCGCTTCTTTTTTTTTTTTTAAGGTTTCAACTAAAGAGTGGAAAGGGCAAAAAAACGAGGTTTCTAACATTGCATTCCGATTGACGCCTTCATTGGCAAGCTCCCGTCACCACTTCAACTCATCTTTTTATGTCCAAAAAGTAGAGATGGGGTCTTGATTATTAATTATGTTGAGATAAATTTTAAATTAATTTAATAATTAGTATTAATTAATTTAAAAAGATATTAAGTAAATTAAATTAATACAATTTTGATTTAATTTTATTATATGGCAATCCTTATGTTTAATTAGACTAATAATATATTAGTTAATAATTAATTATAATATCATATTATGTTTTTTATAAAAAAAATTAGTGTAACGTGAATTGATAAAAAAATATTTCACTGTTAATAATTAATATTAGTAAATAAAAAAAAATCTAACGTAATTTTAATTAATTTTTTTTTATTTACATACACAAAATAGATTTAATACTTAATTAACTTAATTATATATTAATTAATGATTAAATCTTGTTATTGCAGCTTTATCGTTTCATATAAAAAAAATTTATGTACAAGAAAGCCCTTATCATTTATCATCTACACACATTAGGGGATTATTGCCTACAAAGAGTTTTAAATTAATAGGACCATTAAATTCTATATAAGTTTGTTGCATGATAGACATTTCTCATTGGTAGAGTATATGTAAGCCTTAACTCAATAAAAACATTCAAAATACACATAATTATAGATATAGAGCATAAGTAAAATTCTTAAGTGAAAATCTCAAAGGGGAAAAAATCATGTGATCATCCCACCCATTCAAAATACTCACTATATAATTTGAGTTATGTAGACATTCTCTTCCTCTTAACATGAGTATAAGATTATAATACTTATTTATTCCTCTTTTATTACAATAAAAATTGATGGATGACAACATCAATTAACACTAATTACAAAATAATAGCCTAAAAATAGTAATTAGACAATAATAATCTCATATAATTATTGGTTAATAGCAATCAACTGATAGTAGTTGAGCTATAACAGTCGTTGATGATGACCAGTGATTACTAGTGCTCCTAGGTTTTCAGCTCTATCTCTCTCTCTCTCTCTTTTTCTCTCGTTATGAGTGTGGATTTAATTTTTGGCTCTCTTATTTTCTTAAAGAATAATTAAGGGTCCTTCAAACATTTTTTACAGAAATATATTCATAAATTGATCAAGATCACAATTACTCTTTCAAATTGTATGTATTTATTCCCATTATTATAAATCATTCTTCCATCATTTGAGTGTGCTAATAATATCAAAATAAAGTAATATTGAGTTAGTTTGATTACTTTTATCAAGACGCTTCAATTGATTATAAACATATTAAATTTATAATTTTTTGGCGATTTGATAATTTCCTTGAAGTTTCAAGTGCTCAATGAAGGCTCATTTGGACTCATATTGAATCATTTAGTTTCATTGGATTTGTATAGTTGATATCTTTAGTTTAACAATAACTTTGTTTGAATTAGAGCTTGAATGATCTTGAACTTCACTCTTGAAATTATCCCATTCAATATGTATTGAGATTCATGCTTGATTATGTAGACTTTTTTATGTATATTTTGCCTCTTATTTTTTATATATCAGAATTTATTGCATTCAAGAATACATATTAAATCTTTAACAAATTTGAATCTCAAAATAATAATCTTAGAAACAATACAACTAACAATCTATCCCTAGATTTCATTATGGGCCTCCCTTTAAGGTCCTAAATCAAATAAATGTCCTCAATCATTAATATGAAATCAGTATGTCTATCAAAATAAAAAATATTAAAAAATGATATGTTTTGATTTGCTTTAAAATGGTTATATAAATTTTAATGAGCTATGAAAGAATCAAAATTATATATGGAATATCAGGAAATACCTATCTTCCTAGGCCATCTGCGTTGATCGTATGTCGTACGATGGAAGCCCTAGATTAAAACAAAATAACAATAATAAACATCAAATAACATCATTTATAAAATGTAAAATCAAACAGTAGAATAATTTGGGAAGTCATTGAGGTTCTTCTCAAAATCAACGACATCTTCTACCTTTTGTTCTTTGTATTCCAAAATAACAATTTCACATTGAGTCATTCTCATTTAATTTTCATATGACCAATCATAAAAACTAAACTTTGAATTCATAAAGTCAAAATCTCGACCTTAATTGAGAGTTTTTTTAAGTGATTTCGGTCGCTTAAGATGTTATTAACTATAGGGTTTGCACCTATAGAAGAATTAATAACCTAGATAACCTAAACACTATCTAATTTTCAGATCATATAGGGGAACGATCTATTGAAAATTTCACAAACTAAATAAATATCATAAATTTCTTAATTTTGATAACTAAGCCTATTATCAAGTAATATCCTCATCTCTCGAGATGAAGCTTCGCTTGTAATAATGTGCTTGATTATTCAAACTTTTAAATCTATGAGATTTGTTCGGTCTCATTCCCTAAATTTATCGATTCTCTTTGTCAAAAATTACACTCCTCTTAAGGTGCGTAAATATAATGTCTAATTATAAATTTTCAAGTAAGCATTATGACCATTTCTATCATAAATCAAAATACACCATCAAAGAGTTTGGATTATTTGTTAGAGTTCTAGTCCAAAATATTTATCTTGCTCCAATATTTGAAATTTTGTTTAAAACTTGTGTTTGATTAGATAAAAATTATGTGACATTAGCTGCTATAGGAAGTATCATCATATCATGATTTAGCATTTTCATATGTTGATTGAGAGTGATAAGAAATGCAATTCATCAAATAACAACAAAGTCGCCTCTATTTTTATTTTTTCATTTTTATGGAGGAGTGCATGATGAAGTCAGAAATGGCTTCTCTGAAGCTAGCATATGTACTGCCTTACCAATTATCATGACTATTCCAATGGCTACAAAGGTTATAACTAATTAGTCATATATTATATATTAATTCAGATTTTTTTTATTTTTTTTTCTTGATCTTACTTTAGAAGATAATATTCTTTATGAAAGTATGTGAAACCTTCTTGCTCTCCAAAATTTTGACTTGATTGGTTCTCCATTCAATTTTTACTCATATCTCCAACTAAGATAATGTTTTTTTTTTTTTTTCTTATCTATTCAAAATGAACTCTGCCACTATAAACAAAGAAAAAAAATACAGATTTTTTTATTTATATTTTCAATTAATTCAAAAAATACTTACCACCACAAGACAATGGCAATTCTACTACCTTAGAGGAAAAAAATAAATAAAATCAACCACATTTTAGAGGCCTTGCTTGCAACTATAAACAACTTAAAATATTTGAGATAAAAGGGAAGGGCCAAAATAGCCAAAATAGAATAAAAAAAAATGAAAATCAAGCTTCTCTTTTTCTTGTGAAGAAATAATATCTATATTATCTCCTCTTCAAGCAAGGAACCTTGAAAGGCCGACCTTGTGTCCATACAACTTAACATCTTCTTTGATTTTTTGCTTATATTCCATGAAGCTGAAGGATCTATATGTAGATGGAGATTTATTACACTGAATGATGGTTTCATATGATGGACATAATTGAAAGGCAGTGGAGAATCTCTCTATCTGTGAGTTTGCCATTACTCTGTGTTCCACACTCTTGTACACATCATTACTCCATGCCTGAAATATATATATATATAACATGATTGAACAAAAAATGTTAAGACACTATTTTTAATTAATGAAAAAAAAAAACAAATTGTTCAATTATGTACGAAAAAACATTAATGAACTCTATTGTTAAATAAACCAGCACTTTTTATCGTTGGATGTTTAATTTTCTTATGATTTGACATGACTAACATGTAATATACATATTGTTGTATATATAATTACATGTCTCACAACACTCTTTAAATAATTGATGACAATATATAACTTTGAAAATCTAGCAATGGAAACAAGTTAGGGCTCATTTAGTTACTTGAAGGTGGCCAACATATTTAATAAATTAGTATTTTACCTTTAAGAGACAAATGAAATTTGAATTCAATATTAAACTTTTAACAAACTGCGTATTTAATAATCCTGATTTTTTAAAACATAAATTTTAACATCAAATAAGAACTTAAATTAATCAAATTTTAAAATACTATTAAATTAAGATTGTTATTTATCATATTTGCCTTCTATGAAAATACTACCAGCATTTATCATGCATGTATATATGTATGTATATGCACGTATGAGTGCGTGTGAGAAAATATGTAATATAAAAGTAGGGATATTTACGTACATATGTCCCCCAGTTCTTATTTATTTACATATCTAACATCTAAACTCTACTCTTTCCAATTATACCATCCAAGATTTTAATATCACATTTTTGACCATGAAAATGTGAATGCATGGATAAGGTAGAGTAGTTTAAATGTTAGATAAGTAAATACATAGGAATTGGTCATTCGTGTGTATGTAAATATTTCATAAAAAAAAAAATAAATAATAGATGATGGATATATACCTGAAACAAATCACCAATATTGACTACAAAAGCATTGGAATTAGGGTTGACGGTGATCCATCTTCCCCCCTTAAACAATTGCAAGCCACCAACTTGATCTTGATGCAGTATCGTGAGAAAATCGGTATCGGTATGCGGAACTAACCCGAAAACTCCTTTCGGTATCGGGCATGGAGGGTAGCGGTTAAGCCTCAAATAACATGAGCTGGGCCTGCAATGCTCCTCTATATATCCACCATTTCCTCTTCCTTCTTCTTCAAATCCTTCCGCTAATATCTCTGCTAGCTTATATGAAAGTTGAGCCACTCTCATCGCATATTCATCTATCACACGTCTGCGTCAAATCACATTAATTAAATCCTCTTCATAAAATAAATTTATAAAAAGAATTAAGATTAACCAAATTGTAGTCAGCCACGTGAAATAATTTCCCATAGATATGAGAATTATTTGGGAGTAATGGAGAATTAGATAAAGGTTGGTTCTTGTCTTTAAAAATCAGATTTTTAACCAAACCCGACCCGACAATGCATGCAAGATGTTGTTGGTTTGGTACCTGGCCCTGAGCTTCGATGGTACCGCCGATGGCGTCATAGGAATATGATACGCTTCGGACCACGATAACTGGGTCAGACACGTGGCCGTGGGCGTCCCCCACGAGTAACAGCACCCGGCGGGAAAGTCGAGCAATTTTCCCTTCTCCTTCTCCTTCTCCGTAAAGGGCCGTCGGAAAAGGTTAGCCTGCACCTTCCGCAGGCGCTCCAGAAGCTCCCGCGGCACCCCGTGGCTGACCACCTGGAATCTAAATTAAAGATTAGAAATTTATATTGTTGTGATTTTATATCAGGAAAAATTAATATTAAGCGAATGACCTGAAAGAAGCCCCATTCGGCGGCGGCCAAACGAATCTCAGCCTTGCATTCCTCGGGCTCGAGGATCAGACGGCTGAGGTCGATCAGTGGGAGGTAGACGCCGGCCCCGGCGGCGGCTGCGGCGGCGAAGCAGAACGGCGGTCGTCGAGGAGAAGCTTGTAGGCGTTTAGAAACGGAGGGTTAGGATCGTCGGAGATCATGGTGGTGCTGGCTTGTCGAGATCGTCAGAAATGTGGCTAACAAATAAGAACGATAATGGATGAACAAAAGTTTTTCTTGTCTCTTATTATTATATAGAGAGAGTTGTTCATTGTTTACCGTCGGCAGGCAGGGGGGAATGGTGGGCCGGATAAAAAGGAAAAATTTTAGGCCAGGGTGGCAGATTTACATACATACCAGCCAATCCTATGTATTTATAGTTTATAAATTTTCATTTTTTTATATATCTACTCTTATTTGTGCATGAAAAATATAAAATTTATTTTTTTTAGGTTACTTAGTGATAATTATGGAAGATTTGAATGTAAAAAAGAAATTTTTAAGTGTTTTTTAAGGGAAAAATTGAGTCAAAATGATAATATGAGCGATTCAAATTCGAGACTTCACGAACATCAATAGGAGTTTATACCCTCAACCACTTTGCTGCAAATAAGTATAGTAAATCGTCATCATGTGAGGGGATCATAAGATTAGCTAGCTAGTGACATTTGCTTAAAAGATGTATATGTTTGATGATGGTATTTAAATATAATCAATATGAGGCTGCATTTTTTCTTGACCAGTTAAATTAATAATTAATAATAAGATATGGGGCTTATTTTCTTTGACTAATGTTTTACAGTTAGGATGATATGCATGTAACGCCCCGTATATTCTTAACTTTTGGATCACATCCAAACTTATAAAACTCCAATTGAATAGTATTTATCGTTATATATTTTCTTCCCACGTATGGAGTATATTGATTTTTTTTTTCCTTTTATTTTTATATGATTCAATTAATTTGTGTTTTATAACTCTCGGAAACTATCTCATGTTCGGATAGAGTGAATCGAACAAAATCTTTTAATGCCGCTAAAATAGCTATGTTTGACTTATTATTTAAGCAATTTTTTTAAGTTTAAAATATTTATTTTACAATTTAAAAATTTTGTTGTAAGATTTAATATTTAAATGATAAATTGATGAATAAAAATAAGCGTGCATTAAATTAGTAAATAACTCGGATATGAAAACTATGCTCAATGAATTGCACACCCCATGAATGCCATAAATCATGGAAGAAAATTAAATGATATTATGTAAACCTTATAAAGCATATGAAAGAGTCATCAAACTAGCATTGAAGCTTAAAATAATTTGCTCATTCATGCTATTTAGCGTCTAATAAGCTCTTCCCATTCAATCAACTCCACCTTTGTACTCTGAAATGGATCTATTCAACTATTCAAATACATTGGATGACAGCACAAACGGATAGCGTAATGATCAATGAAAAATTATTTTAATGAAAATTTTGATTTGGAGGTGATTTTACATTATTGTGAGATCGCCACATACTCTTATATATAATGAGAAAATGTTATGTACAATCATGCATACGTGCGAATTAAGGATTGATGCGTGCTAGAAGATTCGAGACGGTAGAGTAATGAAATATCTTCTTAGTATTGCATGAGAATCCAACATACAAGTAAATGAAAGAAAATAACTGATAATTTAACCTACTGGGATAAGGTGTCGGAGAACCGCGTTAGCCAACGGAATTCGTGGAATTTGCGGTGAGCAGGGAAGTAATCCCTTTTATCTAAAGGAACCTTTCCAAACCAACCATCGTAGTTCATCTCATATAATATCAGCAGATGAGATAGTAAGATGGGGGAGGGGGGTGTCAGGTGAGCTGCATGAGACAAATTAGTGGAACTTGTAATGTCGAGAATCTCAGTGTCTCATCTCGACAGAGGAAATGTTTCATAGTTAGGAGAGAATCTAGCGAGTGGGGTTTTTTCCATTGAATGTTGAACTTGTGGTAAGTAAGTTCCATTGGGTTGCGGTTGTCGCTCCTTACGTAAGAGATGAAGAATCTCATGTTCAAACTCCTCCATCATACGTACTCGATCTTCCATAGAATGACCCAAGTCACTTTCGCCAACGAGGTAATGCACTTTGGAGTAGGAGGGTGCAGAGGCTTAATGAAATTGGCTCCATGAGTGTCTTCTAGAATGATGGCCGTTGGAGCGGGATGCTCTTTTGTTGCAAGTGTTGTATCTGGTGGTCATGAACAATTTTTACAAAGTGATGGAAGTGCTCTATTTCTCACAGACGGTGTCAACTAATGCATGATAGAAGATTCAGGGTGGTAGAGTAATGAATTATCGTCCTAGCATTGCATGAGAATTCAACATACACTCAAATGAAAAAAAAATAACTGATAATGATCCATAAATTTTTATGTGGAAAATCTGGAAAGGAAAAAACCACAGGGTCTGACCTAGTAGAAAAGTTTCACTATAGAAAAATAATTACAGTTGCAAACACTTATCCAACATGAGAAAAATAGTTACTAGGTCTCTGAAGTTACAACGTGGTGCTGATTAATTTGTTAATATGAATGGGAGGTGACCGATAGCGATTGATGGTGTCCCTTAGGTGGTGGTTGACAGTGATTGACAATGATTGACAAATGTTTTAAGGTGGATGATAGAAATTGGCGGTGATCAACGACGGTCGACGGTGGACAACGAAGATATGGGCGGTGGTCAACGATGGTTGACGTTGATCGACAATGATTGGCTAAAGTCGACGACGGTCAGTAGTGGTCAACATGGTCAGTGATGGTCGATGACAGTCGATGGTGGTGGTGCTGGAGGTTAACTACTTCACGAAGCTTCAAGTTCTTTCTCAAATCTAAAGCTACAAAGTCTTTCACTATAGAAATATGATTACAGTTACAAACACTTATCCAATATGAGGAAAATAGTTACTAGGTCTCTCAAGTTACAACATTATGGTGCTGATTAATTTGTTAATAGGAATGGGAGGTGACCGATAGCTATTGACGGTATCCGGTACGTGGTGGTTGACAGTGGTTGACAGTGATTGACAATCTTTTGAGGTGGATGATAGAGATTGACGGTAATCAACGGTGGTCGACGGTGGACAACAAAGATATGTTGTGATCGATGAGGGTTGGCGGTGGTTGACGATGGTTAACGTTGATTGACAATGATTTGCGAAAGTCGACGACAGTCAGTGGTGGTCAACGGGGTCAGTGATAGTCAACAACAGTCGATGATGGTGGTGCTGGAGGTTAACTACTTTTCAAAAAATCAAAAGCCCCCCCCCACACCCCACCCCCCTCATGAGAGATTTTGGTCTTTATTTATAGAGCTCCAGATGCAATCATGCAAGAATATAAAACTACTTTGATTGGATGGTTCAGAGAGCTTATTTTGATGAGACGACATTTAATGGATATTTGAGTGCATTAACAATGTCAGAATTTAACAATCTTGGGCTATATGGATTCATTTTGTGTAGACACACAATTCGACTATAAGCTCACCAGATTCGACTTTCATTTGATCTTTCAAGTATGTTTGGAAAACTTCCAAAGTGGTTTAATGACTTGATCTGAACTCGATTTAACTCGGATTCGATTGATTTTGGTACCATTGGGTCCGCCATGTCAAGGTTGTCATTTTTAATATAAGTTTGTTGAAATCTGAGCTCTGAAAATTTTTTATTAAAGTTTAAATATTTTTTGCTGAAAAAATTTCTCGAGATCTATGTCATACCTTAAAATTCGTGCTGGATGATGAATTTGCTGATGACGTATCAAATATAATATATCATGAGATCTAATCTAAACGTAATATTTTCTCTTGTATTACAATACCTACAAGAATGTTAAAGTTTTGCATATAATAAATGTTCCAACTAATTTCTCATATATAAAATGAATTTGTTAATAGTATTTCCGAAGGAGGAGCAGTTCAAAAGTTGTAGGAAGAAAAGCAAGATTTCCTCCTCCTCCTCGTCGACGGTGCCCCGAAGTTAAGTAGTGCATATAAATTTAACCACTGACAGCATGCAGATTTACTTAATTCCAACTAAGTAACTAAATAATACATTTAATTTTTATTTTATTTTATTTTATTGCCAGTCTCCATCCATTAAACGTGACGTGGACGCAGAGTCATGCATGTGTAAGGAAACCATTAAAAGTCTGGCTCCCAGCCTCACGCTCGACTTATGCATGCTTCTACCATGACCTGGCTCTTTAACTCTGGTCTCCCTTATACAATATTTTTCTATATATTTTTTGCATTATATTTATATTTGTGGTGACCATGCACGTCGACGCGTTTTTGCATCTTCCAATTCCTTTTTTTTTTTCTTTTTCTTTAAATTTTAATTTTATTTTCTTGTGTTTTTCATCAACCAACAACTTCCAATGCAATTAATTAGTCATTTGAAAGTTTCAACATTTGTTTAATTATGATTAATTAACTTCTCTAGCATTTAGTGTCATTTATTTAATTATAAAATTTTGATGCATTGAATTGATGTTAAACTTTCTTACAATTTACATTTATGACAATTTGGTACTAAAACTTGTACAAATTATGTAAATGCTTAAAATTCGAGTTATGTAAATATGAAAGTTTGAGAGCTAGGTAAGTAAATATATAAGAATTGTGCGGTTTGCACGTAAATGCCCCCTATGTTATCCTGCCTTCTTTGATTAAGCTATGAAATAATACAAATTAATTGATTGTATTATCTGAGAGTGAACATGCAGAACCATAGTAGCTAGGTGCCTTAAAATTCAATATTAAGCAATAATTTACAACTTTTAATATTTGGAGTTGAAGTCTAAAATCCAATTGATGATAATTAGAAGAGTATAATATGATTTTTATAATTGTTTGAGTGGACTAAATTACAGGAATTAGAGATATTAGGCACGCCTGATCTATCTGCAATTACAGAAGTCTAAAATCCAATTGATGATAATTAGAAGAGTGTAATATGATTTTTATAACTGTTTGAGTGGACTAAATTACAGGAATTAAAGATATTAGGCACGCCTGATCTATCTGCAATTACTTAAATTAGTTATTTTCAGCTAAAAATAGCCATAAGTCAAGATGGGTAAATCACTTTGTATTTTCATATTGATATAGTTTTTCAAACATATATATCACATGTGACCAAATTCAATACTTTACCTCTGACATGAGATCTAATCCTGCCTACTCCGTGCAAATAAGACAACATTTAACCAAAATAATTTAATATAGTGCAGACATAACTGATAATTAAGGTTGGTTTATTCAAATGTTGTAATTTCATTTGAAGTTTAATAATTTATTACTTTTTAAAGTAAAAATTAGAAAAAAATGTCATCCTTAATATGCATAATTAGACTCATATTCAATAGACTCGGTCCATCAGAATAAGAAATATAACATATAATCAAATTCAATTAGAAGAATTTACACGAATATTTAAAAAAAAAAAATTAGAAAAATTTACATACATACCACACAATCCTTTGTATTTACCTATCTAACGCCTAATATTTAATATTTATACTTGTAAGAAATAATATTGATATATATTTGATGAGATATTAAAGATTAGAACATTTATGCATGTAAATATGGAAGTTTTTGTATTTTATATGTAAATACAAAAAGAATTGTTTGATGTGTAATGCCCCCCCTATTCAATTAACATTTACTATGAAGTGATATTACCCTTGACTAAATTAATGGAGTCATGTCGCATTTTTTCACATTTTTTTTCTTCAAAAGAGCCCAGTCACTACTAATATTCTGCAAGTGGCCAGCAGTCAACCCTACAAAAGCTACAAGAACCATGGCAAAAATATCATCTTACTTATCTTCCACATATCTTCTCCATTCCCCTCAAATTAATCTTACATGGCAGCCATTAGAATCAGAAGAACTAACAATCCCGACCACAGGAGAAAATATTACTATCATGACTTTGAATGTATTTGGAGTTTAATGGTGGGGCGCCATGTGCGAGTGGGCTCCACCGTTTTTTGTGGTGGGACCCACTTGACAGGTGGCCCCACGCCATTGGACTCCGCATGCAAATTGCATTAGGAGTTCATTAACAGTGGCTGATGCAGAGTTCAGTTAAAAACACAAAAAAGCAATTCAAGCAAAGCCATAGTATCTTCCATTGGTATCTCAGAACCTTTTTTTTTTATTTTGATGACAAGCAAAGATGCATAGTTAGATTCACATGCATACAATTAACTAACTTATTATGAACATATATGCAGTAAATTAAATATCATGATTTCATTTCATCTGTATTATGAAAATAAATATAACATTAAGCATAATATCGCATGAAATCCGGGTAGTGATGAGGTTGAAAGAAAACTTACTTGCATGAGCTGAATTCGTACGTGCATGCTGTTTTATATAAGGTTTTAGTGAAGCAGATACTGGCAAGAAGATATAACAGTACATATATATAAGAGAGGGAGAGGGAGAGGGAGAGGGAGAGGATGGGCTGAGGAATTTGGCAGACATTAGTTGGTGGTCAACTTCTGGTCACCGAGAAGAACACGTTTATGGAGGAGAAGTAGTGGATAAGAGATGAGATTTCTAAGGAGATGCATAGAGAAATGAAATAGTAATTTGAGATACCGGCAGTGTACTAAATTCAAGTAATGAGATGGTCGAAATGACTCTAAGATAACAGTCAGTCTTCATATGGAGGTCCCTGAGAATATAAAAAAAAAGAAAAAATTCGATGGAAGACTAGATACAAAATGTAGTTATCCTTAATAAATATG